TTTTTTTTTTTTTTTTGAGACAGAGTCCCCGTCAGCCAGGCTGGAGAGCAGTGGTGCGATCTTGACTCACTGCAACATGTGCCACCCAGGTTCAAGTGATTCTCGTGCCTCAGCCTCCTGAGTAGCTGGGACTACAGGCGCGCTCTACCACACCCGGCTAATTTTTGTATTTTTAGTTGAGACGGGGTTTTGCCATGTTGGCCAGGCTGGTCTCGAACTCCTGACCTCAGGAGATCCACCTGCCTGGGCTTCCCAAAATGCCGGGATTACAGGCATGAGCCACCGCACCTGGCCATTTCACCCCATTTGAACCTTAGTTTTCTCCTCTGGGAAGCCAAATTAATAAATGTTTTTATCACAGGGCCGTTGTTGAAGCATGTATGTGAAGCATGTGTGTGAAAATGTTTTGTAAACCAAAAAGGGCTCAGGTGCTATTATTATTATTATTCTGCAAAGGTTGGGCTTTGAAGGGATTTTAAAATATTTTAATTGTGGTAAAATATAACCTAAAATTTGCCTTTTTAACCATTTTTAAGTGTACAGTTCGGTGGAATTACATTCACATTGTTGCGCAACTACCATCACCGACAGAACTCTTCTCTTGCAAAACTGACACTTTGTACCCAGTAAACATTAACTCCTCATTCTCCCTCCCCCAGCCCCTGACAACCACCACTCTGTTTTCTATCTTTACACATTTGACCACCATAAGAACCTCACATGAATGGAATCCTACCGCATGTGTCCTTTTGTGACGGGCTTATTTCACTTAGCAGAATGTCCTTAAGGTTCAGCCCTGTTGTAGCATGGGTCAGAGTTTCCTTCCTCTTTAAGGCTGAATAATATTCCCTGTGTGTACACGTCGCATTTTGCTTATCCATTCATCTGTCAATGGACACCTGGGTTGCCTCCCACTTTTGGCTATGGTGAACGATGCTGCTGTGAGCGTGGCTGTACAAACATCTGGTCAGGTCCCTGTTTTCATGCTGTCGGGTGTATTCCCAGAAGTGGAATTGAGGGAGCCTATGGAAATTCCGTGTTTAAGTTTTCAAAGAACTGCCATATGGCTTTCCACAGCAGCTAAGTGCTATTAATTAATTAAATTAATTAATTAATTTGAGATGGAGTCTCGCTCTGTCGCCCAGGCTGGAGTCCAGTGGCGTGATTTCAGCTCACTGCAACCTCTGCCATCCGGGTTCAAATGATTCTCCTGCCTCAGACTCCCAAGTAGCTGGGACTACAGGTGCGCACCACCATGCCCGGCTAAGTTTTGTGTTTTTAGTAGAGACAGGGTTTCACCGTGTTGGCCAGGCTGGTCTCAAACTCCTGGCCTCAGGTGATCCTCCCGCCTCGGCCTCCCAAAGTGCTGGGATTACTGGTGTGAGCCACCGCGCTCAGCCAAGATGCTATTATGTTTAAGGTCATGTTTTGGCACAGCAGTGACTCCAGACAAGAGTCTCCTTTGTCTCCTGGCTGCTGGAGGGAAGGCGATAGAGGTTGGTGGTGCTCCTTGGTGCATGTTCCAGAGATCCTGGTGCTGTGGGTGCTCACAGCACCCTCCCCACCTTCCACTCCTCATTTCTCCTGTTTGACATCCACCGAGCTAGAGGCTTCTCCCTCTCCCTGGGCTAACGCTTATTTGCAGCACCCTCAGAGAGGAGTTCAACCTGAAATCCTGCCTTTAAATCAATTACTCAGTGACCTATTTCAAATTTGAATCCAAAAACTCTGTTAACTCTGTGAATGAATCCAGTTCTCTTAAATGTTATATGTGCATCACAATGAAACCCACATTTGTCTTGACTTCAGCGGGAAAATATTATGAGCTTGACTGTGTCTGTCATTTTGATACCTACTTCTAAACCTCCCTGAAGCTGACACCTGTTACTCAGAGCCCAATTTTTCCATCTGAGGAAAGACAAAAAGGATTGTCCATGAGATGCTGCTAGTGGCCGGGCTGTGAGTGGCCGGGACCAGTGGCTGCTCCCTCAGCCTCCTATGGGGTCCCCAGGGGCTGTGGGCATGAAACACAATTCCCTTCCCCTGCACTTTGCAGTCCTAGGCTGTTTGTCTCCGCTAGCCACTGATGCCTTCAGAAGCCCCCATTGCCAAATGCCCAGCTTGAAGCTCGCCACCTGCTTCCAGGGTCCCTGGAAAAAGAGAGCAGAACAGGGCGCTGGGGTCCCTGTCATGGTGCACACAGACAGTGACATCTGGCATGACCTGGCCAAGCACACCTCTCCATTGGCTGGGCAGGGCAGGGTGGGGGTGGTGGCTGGGAGCCTTTGGGTGTCGACACTTCCAGCTTCCACTAGATGGTGGTAGTGATATCACCATATCTCTTCCAAAGCAATTTCAGGGTTTGCCTTCTTCTCAGTGGCTGAAGTTGGGTTGGCCTTCTCAGTGGCTGAAGTTGGGTTTGCCTTCTCAGTGGCTGAAATTTTGTCTGGACCCAAGATTTTGGCCCAAGCCCCCTCCTCTGGAGCTGCAGACATCCAGGGTGACTTTTCCTGTGGTGTCGATGGTGAAGCTGAGCGCTATTTGTAGTCACTAGATCCTTGGAATCTCCAAATGGATGGTCTCTGCTCACGTCCCACGTCCCTGGAGTTAAGAGACACCTGTTTCTCACCTGGATTTGAGTCTGCAGTCCCCATTCTGGTTGCTCCACTCTGAGATTACGTTCAGGGAGTCTATTGTCAACTTAAAATAACAGCAGAGAGGGAGTCTCCGAAGATAACGAGTTTATTCTGGAATGAGCAGAAGGATTTGTAAATCCGGGAATACATGATGTGTGAGGACACCCCATGGTGGGACCACAGGCAGACTCGGGGAGACAAAGGAAAGCAGAGGGTTTTTATTTCCTCCTACCCCGCCCCCCGAGTCTCACTCTGTCGCCAGGCTGGAGTGCAATGGCACAATATTGGCTCACTGCAACTTCTGCCTCCCATGTTCCAGCAATTCTCCTGCCTCAGCCTCCCAAGTAGCTGGAAATACAGGAATGTGCCACCACACCTGGCTAATTTTGTACTTTTAGTAGAGATGGGGTTTCTCCATGTTGGGCAGGTTGGTTTCGAACTCCTGACCTCAGGGGATCCACCCGCCTCGGCCTCCCAAAGTGCTGGGATTACAGGTGTCAGCCACCGCGCCCTGCTGAAAGCAGAGGTTTTTAAAGGAAAAATGAGGAGACTTATATAAGTTATTTTAAATAATGATCCCTAGGTACAATAATTAATAACAAGGGTCACTTTAGCTCAAGGTTGAACAGACACTTGTTGGGCAGATGTCCTCATAGATGTGGCCTTTGTGCAGGGCTGTGATTCTTTGTGCATGGTCGTGGTTTGCTGAGATCTCTTACAATAGTTCCTGTTATCCAGGAAACTGTGTGTGAGGCCCCCACTTCTTTTTTTTTTCCTTTGAGACGAAGTCTGGCTCTGTCACCAGGCTGGAGTGCAGTGGTATAATCATGGCTTACTGCAACCTCTGCCTCCCAGGCTCAAG